GGGGGGGGGGGGGGGGGGGGGGGGGGGGGGGGGGGGGGGGGGGGGGGGGGGGGGGGGGGGGGGGGGGGGGGGGGGGGGGGGGGGGGGGGGGGCGTACTCTAATGTTTTGCATGCCTCAGCGGATAGACCATTGACCGGAGCATTGTTGCCACAGGGCCGATCACCGGCGGCCAATCGTTCCTTCCTAATCTGCCAAAGCCGGGCGGGTTGGGAAAAAAGACGTGGCTTTACTTGCATCGTGTTGCCACCAAAACAAATAGCTCCATAGCCACAACAATGCGAAACAGTGTCGGTTTGCCGAGAAGTTCTAGTCATGCCTGCAGCACGCGGACACACGTGTGTTGTTTCCGTCGTCTGCGTGTCTCGAAAGGTCCGGGCTTGGATGTGCTTCATTCACCTTTTCGCCCTCGAACTCCCATTCAACCGAGCGGCCCGGTTCCGGGCAAGAGGCGCACTTCGCCAGGGCCATGGTCTCGGCTGCCTTCGGTCCCGCCAAGGAAAACACCACCAGCTCCTCCGACAAGCCCGACACGTTAGTCCTGCCTCATCGTGGGGAACGTGTTGCAAAAGCGGGGGAATACAACATCGTGACAGACAGCGGGCGTGACGGGGGGAACGAACCGGACGACATGAAAAAAAATGTTCTTGTTCTTTGGTGTCTGAGAAATCGGTGGGGCGCACTGGGAGTGTTGCGTTGAGGCGACGAAGAGGACGAGGCTACGGCGGTAGAGCTAGCTCCTTTGGCTGTGCACGCACTTGACCGCGACGTGCAGGAAAGGGGGGGTTGTACGAGCAAGCTGGTTTGATTCTTTTGCAGCGGATTCCACCTTCTTGAACCTCAAGCACCGTGTGAAGCAGCGCGCATTTGCAACCAACCCACTTGCACGAGCAATCGATGGTACACCAGCGGGAGGGATAGGGATTCATTCCCGTCTCTCCCGACTCCACCTACGCAGAAAAACACGCAGAGGCTCACTTATCCATGGGGAAGATGAACTTGTCCATCGTTCCAAGCAACTTCTGCCACCGGTGCGGCGAGCTGATGAGCCAAACCGCGTCGTCTAGCACCACGCCCTCACAAAAGTCTACCACACGGCCGATGTTGTTGGTAAAGCAAGTCGCCACCACCTGACCTGTTCCCGAGCGAGCCGTGAGAGGGGAGTGGAGTGCATCGGCGTGTTTGTGCCGCAATGATTGGGCGAACGAAGCTTTCGAGCCACAATGCCGTTCAAATGAAATGTCACAGGCAGGAAACGCGCATGCGCAGGTAGCCAATCAGCACACGAACCACACATGTCTCACCCTAGCTTCGCTTTTTCGACACATGCACACAGAAAAAGGTCAACATCCCTCCAATTTCCTCCAAGTTCTGCGCTGCCCCACCATCCGCGCAAGATAAAAAAATACCAGGTGTATGGTCATGTCATTCCTCCTATTACGAAGTTTGTTACAGGTCATGGGTCGAGAAAAGATCGCGTCCGCTCATTGGGAGAGGCTGTACAATCCCGAGGGACGAAGGCTGACTTGGCTTCAGTATGGAAAATGTCCCAAATGCACTGGGAACACTTTCCATGCTGAAGCCAAGTCAGCAAACTTTTCCAGTACCAGGCTATGAATAGCAGTTTAACGACCTAGGGGACACGCGGCTTGGGAGATAGGTATGTGTAGAGCAAGTCAGAGGCCGAGGAGAGGTACACAGGCATCACACAGCAGTATATCACACAGCGTACAGTATCACGCCACACAAGCATGTTACACCAAAAGGTTTCCCACGCGCGGTTCACACAGTGGAGCTAGTGATTACTACCGTGCGAAAAACATTCTAGCGCTGTGTCCCCCAAGTGTCCCCATTTGGGCTTCCAGTGTTAAGAGGGTCGTACAGCTCCGATGGTTGAAATCAGCCCACGACAGAGTCGAACGGCGGGATCAAGGCGAAGGTGTAACGGCCGAGCCCCCAAGCGAACTCATCGGTTTCATCGGCGAGGGAAAGGAATGCGCAAAAGTATGCCACAGTACGCTGGCCAATATCGTGTTGTGGAACGGCAAATGGAGGATTGCTACATTATGCGGACGGCTACACATCCGTCATCGTGCTCCTCAACAAAAGTTCATTTTCCACTGTATCTATTTCCATCACTCGCCTGTTATAGCGACGAATGGCTACTACATATCCTTAAGGTAGTGCTGTATCCATCTCCCTCGCTCACCTGCTGTGGCTCGCTCGAAAGCGTTGGTTCCCTGGCTGTGCAAGAATCTCAGCCTGTCTTCTCCCTCTACCCGGATGACCCCCCAGTGAGACTTGTCTACCAGGAGCGTCCCCGACGCAGCAGCGTTTGCTACGGCATCGGCGCGTTGCCTAGCCCCTGTGCCTGCCTCGAACCCAGAGATCAAGACGTTCTGGAGTACGTGGCCTAAGGACAGCAGCAGCAGCATGCATACACACACGCAGATGGGAAGGGATAAGGGATGGGCGGGACCACAAAACTACGGTACATCTTAAGCCTCCATCTGAAAGCAGTCCGCTATGTATAACCTGTATGGACTATCTCGTGGAAGCGGCGGCACTGCCGCCTCGTTCCTCGACATCTATGTACTTGTACAGCAGTACTGTTGTAGGCTCTTGGGGCCATTTCGAGGGCGGCGAGGATAACTGAGGGCAAGGATCATGATCTCATGATACGCGATTTCCCCAGGTTGGCCCTCGCCAATTTCCCGGGCTTGGCGCTGTGCCAGCTATTCATCACCCTAGCTCACCAATACCAATGCACCTGTGACCTCCACGGACAACTGCGTGCGCCTATAGCTCGCAAGAAATCGACGTAACGTAATCTGTGTGTTGGTGCCGCGAAGGAGGGCTTGAACGCGACGGCCAACAGCAGGTAAGCTCACCATCATCGTAAGACACATCACCGACCACGCCCCCATTCTCGCTCTGCACCGTCCTCAAGTCTTCCAGGCTGCAGGTTGGTGTCGACCTTCCGCTTGGCCTAGGCGAAACTGTACCGCAGCTGCTGCAGCAGCTGCTGCTGCTGCTGCTGCTACTGCGTTGAGCCCAAAGCCTTGCACTGAATCCAAGCGCGCAAGATGAGACAAAGGAAGTAGACCTACTTTTCGTGGCCGCCCATGGGCAAAGCCCGACAGCTAATGGAATACAGGCGCACGCCAATAGACAAGAAGAAACACTTGACCACGGTACTGGCGCCATCTGCCTTCGGGTCTACAGCACTACGCTATGCCAGTTCACAAGAGGGGAGGGCAGCGAGGGCAGTGGGATGCGGCGCAATAATTGCGGGGCTTGGGGTACTGTATCCATGAAAATGAGTTTTGCTCTCGGGTCATGAGCGCATGTTGTTTCTGGCGGGGCCACAGCGACTAAATCCTCCTCTCTTTCTGTCTGTTTGTCTGGATGCCAGTCCGTCAGTCAGTCTGCCTGTCTGTTGTCTTTCTGTCTGTCTGTCTGTCTGTCTGTCTGTCCCTCCCTCTCGCGCACGCGACTATACAAATACCTATCTTCTGTGATATCGGACGTACCATCGTGATTGATTCGAAAGCCAGAGGCACGAACGCATGTTATCAAGTTTCGGGTGCCTACATGTGTCTGTCCGCGGGCTAACGACAAAATGTCCGAGGAGAAACTCCATCGAGTCATAAGCATGCAAGCTCCTACCTCAACAGAGAACGGCGCATGCGCAGGGCACCATCATGCATGCACACCATGCCGCACGTCCTCTTCGTAGAACTCACTGTTCATCGAAGCCATCACAGCATGAACTAATTGCAACCAACTCATCAATTGTTCTCCATGCGACTCACACAACCCACGGCACAAACCCGTCGTGTTTCACACTACGCCAGGTCATCACCGAGACGCACAAAACAGACATAGAGGGGGGGGAGAGAGAGAGAGAGCAGCGAGAGAGAGCACGTGATTTCAATCGGCGAGGACACCATGAACCGATTCATGCTCGCGTTGCGATATTTTTTTGGGGTGTCTGTCGACGCAACAGCACTGACTGTCGCTGCTGTCGCTGGAACAAAGCGATTTCGAGGNGGGGGGGGGGGGGGGGGGGGGGGGGGGGGGGGGGGGGGGGGGGCAGCTATTCCTATCGGCTGTAGCTACAAAGTAGCTGGCATGTGATGCGAGGTTAGGTAGGCAAACACACAGAGTGATCTTATTATCTTCACCTGACGGTTACATGCTTGGCAACGCCTCACCATACTGATAAACCCACGCAGTAGAATAGGTCGTTCTTGTACTGCAATTACTACATGTCCTCTCAAGAACTACGTCATTCTACTACCAATGCATCAGATCCTCCAATTCTTTCTCACTGTCCTCTCGAAACAATATCCGTGTCCTCTCGAAACAATGCACGTGAAACAATGCTATCTTAATAAGCACTTCTGATTCAATGTTAATTGTTTCGCCTTTCTCAGCTGCGTTGCATCAGCAGCGAATGTTTTCCTTCACAAATCTCCCGAATATTCTTTTATTATCATATACACACAGATAGACTACACAATATCCATGTCCTCTCGAAACAATGCTATCTTAATAAGCACTTCTGATTCAATGTTAATTGTTTCGCCTTTCTCAGCAGCGTTGCATCAGCAGCGAATGTTTTCCTTCAACACAAATCTCCCGAATATTCTTTTATTATCATATACACACAGACAGACTACACAATGCAACCCTCAAGACATACATCAAGTCTGATTACGAAGAGGGGGGGTGATTAAACTCCTAACAGTATGCCACGGGCGCGGAGAAACTCCGACGGCATTAGCCCTTTCGAAAAAATCTGCGCTTTCTGAAGCGACGTCGATACTTGCTTCACGTCTACGACTCCATCAGCTACCAGCGACCTTAGGTGGTGAAACTTTACGTCAATGTGCTTAGTCCTTGGGGTGATACGGAAGCTGCTTCGGAGTCTTCCTCCCACACCACGGTTGCTTCTTCCTGCGTCTGATTTATGGTGTCCAGCAGGTGGCGGAAGAACTTGATATTGTTGCACCCCTTTGACAAAGCCACGAACTCTGCTTCGACTGAAGAGGTCACCACCACCGTCTGCTTGGATGACGTCCATTCCACCGGTCCACCAGCGAAGTACAGCACGACTCCCGTGGTGGGGTAGCCCTTGTCCAGGTCGCCTGCAAAATCTGAGTCGACAAACGCCGTAATGACGTTTCCATCGTCGGCATCCTCGCCGTAGCGTACACCGATTGATATCGTCCCTTTCAGGTACCTGAGTACGCGTTTAAGTTTCTGCATCACCCTCGGACCTGGTTTTTCCATACTCCGCGTCAGAACCATCACGGAGTGAGTAATGTCGGGCCTTGTGCACCTGCTGAGATATAGAAACTAGCCTGTGGCGGAGCGGAAATATATGTGGTATCCTCCGCTGATAACACCTCGTCCTCCAAGACGGACACCGGTCCAGCCTCAGACGGAGATGTCGTCGGACGCTCGTCGGCCATGCCGAACTTGTCCAACACTGCGTTGGCATACGCTTCCTGTTCTAAAAGAATCGTCCCTGCGGCTCTGTCTTGGTTGATTCCATACCGAGTAGGAATCTGGCTCTTCCCACGCCCACCGTTTCGAAACGCTCATTCAGCTGATCGACTATGCTCAGCACCTTGATCTCGCCCTCCCCGGTGAGCAGAATGTCATGCACATGAACGAGAAGGAGCACATCTCCGTCGTCCAGGATGTACAAGCACGGTTCAGCGGTGCTCTCAACAAATCCGATCTCCAGGAGGAAATCGTGCAGGGTGCCTCACCAACCATTTGGGGAAAACGCAACCCGTAAAGCCACGCTCTGAGCTTCCAGACTTGCCTGGCTTGCTCGCTGTCGCACGAGAATCCTTCCGAGGGAATGACGTACACTGCTTTCGATCTTGGTTCCATCCTCGCGTGGAGGAACGCTGTCCTGATGTCGGCTTGGCGAAGAACAAGTCTATTCTTGGCAGCATGCGCAACTATCAGATGGACGGCTTGGAGAGACGCTACCGGTGCAGCATTGTCGGTTCCGGTCTCAGCTTCGTGAAATCCTTGCACTACGATTCTCGATTTCTGTCGCACAGCGATGCCGGCCTCGTTGTACTTCCATTTGTACATGTATTTTGACGGGATGATTTGAGCATCGCGCGGGGGATCGACCCACTCATAAACGTCGTGGTATAGTAGGGAGCGATTCTCCACCTCCATGCTATTCATCCACCCAACAGCATCTGGTCCGTTGACCGCCGCTCGGTAGTTCGATGGATCGGCGGGCATGTATCCTTGTTGGCCAGGTATCCCTTGACCAAGGTTCCCGATCTCACCTCCGATCACCAACGCGTATTCTGTTTCGAACACCTGTTCCGTCGTAAACAGGTTCAGACGGTCTCGCGGCTTTGCCGTGCGACCGCTTTTGCACACCGCGGGTGATTCTTCGTCCGGTCCGTCGTTCGTTTCTGCCGGTTCTGGTTCGTCGTCTTTTGTCTCGGCCCCAGTGATGATGCCGGGCTGGAAAATCTGGCCTTGTTCGGGAAATGGGTCAGACCCGTGCACGGGGCGAGCGACGTCGCGGGCATCTACCTCGCGGAATGACACTTCAGCAGAGTTTGTAATTTTGAGTGGTTCCGCCGGGTCCCATAACCGCCACGTCTTGCTGGTGGTATTGTATCCCACCATGTACTTCTTCACCCTGGCAGATAACTTACCGTTTCGCGAGCGAGCTTCGACGTGTTAGAACGCTTCAGGCCCCCACTCATGCATGTGCTTCAAGCTGCCGAGTGGTTTGTCCTCCCAAACCTCAAGTGGTGTTTTGCCGTCCAGGACGTCGGTAGGTGTGCGGTGCTTGATGTAAATGGCGGCCTTCACGGCTTCGGTCCACAGTTGACGCGGCAGGTGCGGAGCTCCAAGCATGAGGCTACGCGCTGCACCGATGACGGTCCTGAAACCGCGTTCGGCGATGGCATTCCCTTGAGGGACGTATGGGGGGCTTGTCTCCACAGCAATCCCGAAGGAACGACACATTGCTAAGAATCTACCCTTGAAGTAGGCTGCGCCATCGCAATGGATTTTCCCGATGCAGATGCCCTCGGGGTCGGCGACTTCTTTAATAAGGGTCTCGAGCGCGTCAGGCACTTCATCATTTGTCTTCAGGGGGATGCCCCACCGCATGCGAGACTTGTCGACCGACATAAGCTACAAACAACAGCATCGCCTGGCCATTTCGAATCAGCCTCTCGTTCACAAAAGAAACAGACCGGGCCTTCACACAACGATCTCCTCTAGGGAAAAAATGACTGCCGCAACACTATAAAAGTCAACCCACAGCATGAGCTTGCAAATCACGGTGTGAGCTGATCAGGGCCACATTTTCCTGACACCCGACCACCATTGCCATGTTTTCCATGCTGGCACAGCACCGCACTATAGGACGTCACGTTCACGATTCTACTGCTGTACTACTGACTGTGACGCCGAGGCTACCCGTCGTGTCCGAAATGTGCCGGGACGGGCGGCATGTGCTCCTTCGACCAGAACACCACGCTGCGGTCTTGAGAACCCCTTCCTGCTGGCTCATCGAGGCCCAGGTCTTCAACGCTGGGCCCAATTGGTACGATGCCCCCTGGATTAAGGGGGCTGAACAACGCCGCAGCGGGCGACCGCCAGTGGGAAGCGGGCATAGGAGCAAGGGAAATAATAATTGAACGGGTTGAGGACGGCTGAGACAAGCAATAGCGCACCTCCCTGTCTGAACTTTCCGAAGACACGCTCGAGTACGATCTCTCAAGGCCCCCCACCTTCAAGCGACGGTCGGCATCGTGGGTAAAACACTTCTCCGCGTGGGTAAAAGCAAGCGTTTCAGCTTTCAAAACGACGCAGGGGCTTTACCCTAACCCCAATTCTAACCCTCTCTCACAAGAGTTGCGCGAAGTAGGAGAGACGACAGCCGTCGATATCGATCGTTTCCGCCACACCCGAGAGCTGATAAACGTCTCTCAGCCACGCGTTCAACGCCGGGTAGTCGCGCCATCGCCTGGTCGCGAAACACGCACACGGAGATTACAGAGGACGAATAATGTTGATATTGCAAAGATCGTCTGGTTAAGATGTCCGTTTCGCTTGCTGCTGCCCGAAGAGAGGTATCGTGGGACTGTTACTGTCATTCAACTCTGCCGTGCCCTTAACAGGGCACGGGACGACAGCAGTGGATACTTCGTACCAAAAACTAAAAAATCAAGGATACCCACAACAACAACAAAACACACCCAACGTATGTATCTTTACTGCTAGTCGAGTCAAAACAGGAGCAGACGTTCGGTCACATTGTACCTCCAACGCAAGAGCATCCTCTCTTTGCGACAAGCGCAAACCAGGGGAAAAATCCCTTGAACTCTGATGCATACACCGCAGCAGCGTGGCTGCTACGATACCTCGTGCATGCTCACAAGCAGCTAACGATTGTCCGTGTATGTGATCATCAACCCGATAAAATTGGCCACTGCGTGCTGTGAAGTTCCACTTCCAGCAAATCGGATTAGCTCACACGTCAGCATCGAACATCGCACCTCATCCCCGCCATTGAAATCAAGCATGCTAATAGCGGGTGCCGTACCCTTTATCCTGCTGCCCTACTCACGCGGCCTCACCTCAACGCGCCCGACAAATAAAGCCGTTCCCTCGCCCACAGAAACAGAACGAGACAGCGACGTATGGGCACCGGGCATACGAAACCCTTGCGGTTTTGGAGCAATTTTCTGCCTCGAAGGGGTGGTAAGGGTGTGTTGCTGCCACTAATACCCCAGCACATTGCCACCTCATCGCAGGCGCCGCCACCGCACACCCCTATCCTCGTCAAAATTGGTCTGAGCTCAGGCGTAAGAAGGGCAAACAATACTGTACCCCACGCAGGAAGCCTCAAAGAAATGCCGCCCACCCAACACTCTTTCGCGTTGCAAAGCCCGTACACCCTACCCTTCGATCTCCGTAGCTCTCTCTCGCTCTCTCTCCTGTCTCTATCACCCTCCCCGTTGGTCTCTCTCTCTCACTTGTTGGAGCACTTGAAAAGGGTGGCGTACACCGCGTCGAACCGCACCGCGGTGGGGATGAGCCGGAGATCTGCCTCTGTGAACTTGTCGCCCAACAGGAACCTATTCTTAGACAGGATTTCCTCGCACTTCGTCAGGCCTTCGAACACGTCCCTGCAAGCCTGTATCGTTCGCGCAGCACGCGTCAAGGGGGGTGTGGGTGTGCCTCTATTGTCAGCATCGACAACGCTAACCTGCTGACCGATGAAAAATACACCACTGCGGCTGAAAACGAACACGCTTTTAAAGACCGTGATCAGGGGCCTCGTGAGAGGGAGGGTCAAGGGTGGGGCTAGGATATTCTCCGCATTTAAGTCACAAACGGTAGTACATGAAGAGGTGTGTGTGCGTGTGTGTTTCACGATAGCGAAGAAAGCCGATTCGGTTTCCGAAGGCAGTTCCCTCAAGTGAACTTCCCATGAACGTGATCCCCCCCCCCAACACAAATAACAAGCAAAGCCCACGCTAAAGTTAACGCACAGACGAGACGTAAGCCACGGCTTCACCCGAACAAGTGCAAGGCCTTCCTTCGCCGTAAGATCGGGCTGGTCTGACGGGCGCGCACACGGGCACCGGGCACGCTTAGCGTCCCTGACGGTACGGCGCCCTAGCATGGCAGTGTCGACGCACATTCCAACAACTATGCCCGTTCGTGCCCAACGCGCGCCGAGCCAGACTCTGCCCCCCCCCCCCCCCCCCCCCCCCCCCCCCCCCCCCCCCCCCCCC